GAGTGGGACTCAGGATTCTACCTAAGGTCCATACTCTACAATGGAAGCCTATTTTCCTGGGCAAATTCTAACACCCCTTTAAGAAAATTCTATCGGTTTTATGCTGAAGACAGCTTACAAGCTTTCTGTATCATAATTTCCAATATTCATTTCTGTCACACATAAATGTCTATTTTATTATAGTAGGAAGGGGAAACCAATATCCACAAGACAAATATATAAAAATTTTTACCCTCCTTTACCCACTCAGCCTATGTCTTAATCCATGTATCTACTCACAGAACACTGTTGTTCCAAAGTTGTGTATAAATCACTATTAACTTCTATCCCATTTAGCCCATGCATACTTCCTAAGTCTTCCTCTCTCTTCATTGTTCAACTGCCACCCTCCCTCTTCTTGTGTATTGCCCTACCTGTCAGCTGCGCTAATGTGTGTCCACCCTCTAGCCAGTAAATTACTCTTTCCTCCCTCCCACCCCTGGCAACTATCAAAGAATGTTTCTTGTAGTATGAAAACCTTTTCTTACACTTTTATAATAATGGTCTCATACAATATTTGGTCTCATACAATATTTGACCTTTTGTGATTGACTAATTTCACTCACCATAATATCCTCCAGGTTCATCCATGTTATGAGGTATTTTGCAGATTCATCATTATTCTTCAAGGTTGCGTAGTATTCCATTGTATATGTACCAAGGTTTGTTTATCCATTCTTCCATTGATGGGCAGTTAGGCTTTCTCTATCTCTTTGCTGTTGAAGCTAGTATCGTGATGAACATTAGTGTGTATGTATCTACTTGTGTCCTGGCTCATATTTCTTGTGGACTGGTAGTGTAGTGGTTACGAATCAGGCTGTGAACCTTACGGTCAGCAGTTCGAAACTACCAGCCGCTCTGCAGGAGAAAGATGAGGCTTTCTGCTCCTGTAAAGATTTACAGCCTCGGAAACCCTGTACAGGGTCGCTATGGGTAGGAACCGACTCAATGGCACTTAACAACAACAACATGCACCGGTAGAGGAATTGCTGGGTCATAAGGCATTTCTATTTACAACTTTCTGAGAAAGCACCCTACCATTTTCCAGAGTGGTTGAACCATTTTGACAGCACCACCAGCAATGTAGGAGGGCCCCAGTTTCTATACACCCTCACCAGCATTGGTTGTTTTCTTTTTTTTTTTAACTTCACTGTTAATGCTGGTTTGAGATGATGCTTCAGTGTTGTTTGGATTTGCATCTCTTTGATGGCAAATTATTGTGAACATTTATTCATATGTTTATTAGCTACCTGAATGTCTTCTTTAGTCAAGTGTCTGTTCATGTCCTGTGCCCATTTTTCAATTGGGTTGTTGGTATTTTTCTAAAGGTGGTATAGTTTTCTATACATTTTTTTTATATTAGTCCTTTGTCTGACATGTCTGTTGCAAAAAATAACTTTCCCAGTATGAGGGCTCCCTTTTCACTCTTCTGGTAAAATCTTTTGATGCACATAAGTTTTAGGAAGTCCTAGTCACCGATTTTGTCTTCTAATGTTTGTGTGTTTTTTGCAATGTTTGATCGTATATATATGCCATGTATTAGAGCCCCTAAGTTTGTCCCTTCTTCCTAGTCTGTTTCTTCTGGAAGCTCATCTGAAACCTGTCCACCATGGGTGACCCTGCTGGTATTTAAAATACCGGTGGCATAGCTTTCAGAATCACAGCAACTCACAAGCCACCACAGTACGACAAACTGACAGATGAGTGGTGACACCAGGATTGGAGGAAGGCTTATTAACTGTAAGAAAAAGAAAGAGATGAAGGAGAGAGTCTTGGCTTCAACAGCAGGCAAGTTTATTGAGAGTAAACCTGGGAGGGGGTACTCTTAAGTCACCAAAGGAGACCAAGACCCTGTGTGTTCTCTTACAGACTGGAGTATTTAAGGCGGTGTGGTCTGGGTACAGAGTTTACAACGGGCGAGGGTATGGAGATTTTCCTGAATCCTGGAATTACAGCAGCGGGGTTGGGGGTGGGGGGGGGAATGTCTCCAGGTGTAACAAAGACCCAAGCTTCCTGGGAGACCAGAAGCTCAAGCAGGACCCCATTCAGTGCCAATTGGGGGTAGTTGCGATGCCATTCTGTTGATCAGGCTCAAGGTCCTTCACTAACAAACTACAATATGCAGATGATTCAACTTGTTTGCTGAAGGTGAAGAGGATTTAGAATACTTGTTGATGAAAACCAAAGACCACAGCCTTCGGTGTGGGTTGCACATCAATGTCAAGAAAACAAAAATCCTCACCACTGGACCAACAAATAACATCCATATAAATGGAGAAAAGATTGAAGTTGCCAGTGACTTCATTTTGCTAGGATCAACCATCAACGCTCATGGAAGAAGCAGTCAAGAAATCAAATGACTATTGCATTGGGTAAATCTGCTGCACAAGACTTCTTTAAAATGTTGAAGAGCAAAGATGCCAGTTTGAGGACCAAGGTGTTCCTGATGCAAGCCATGGTATTTTCAACAACCTCATATTCATGTGAAAATTGGATAGTGAATAAGGAAGACCATAAAGAATTGAAGTATTTGAGTTATGGTTTTGGAGAAGAATATTGAAAATACCATGGACTGCCAAAAGAACAAATAGATCTGTTTTGGAAGAAGTACAACCAGAATGATCCTTGGAAGCCAGGATGGCCAGACTTTGTCTTGCATACTTTGGACACGTAGTAAGGAGGGACTAGTCACTGGAGAAGGATATCATGTTTAGTAAAGTGGAAGGTCCGAGAAAAAAAGGTAGACCCCCAACGAGATGGATTAGCATAGTGGCAGCATCAATGGGCTCAAATGTGGCAAGGATTGTGAATTTAGCCCAGGATCGGGCAGAGTTTTGTTCTGTTGTACATAAGGTCGCTATGAGTCAGTATGAAGTCGATGGCACCTAACAACAACAAAGTTTGTCCCTGTTTTTTTTTAATTAATGATGTTTATAGTTCTAAGGAGCTCTGGTAGTGTAGTGGTTACGAATCGGACTGCGAACCTTAAGGTCAGCGGTTTGAAACTACCAGCTGCTCTGCGGGAGAAAGATGAGGCTTTCTGGTAGTGTAGTGGTTACGAATCGGACTGCGAACCTTAAGGTCAGCGGTTTGAAACTATCAGCCGCTCCGCGGGAGAAAGATGAGGCTTTCTACTCCTGTAAAGATTTACAACCTCGGAAACCCTGTACAGGGTCGCTATGGGTCGGAACCGGCTCGACGGCACTTAACAACAACAACAACAACAACAACATAGTTCTAGGTTTTACATTTAGGTCTTTAATCCATGTTGAGTTTGATTTTGTATATGATATGAGATATGGGTTTTCATTCTTTTGCAAATCAACTTGTCTTCTTAATGACTTTTTGCTTTCTTCATGTATGATGTTCTTGATGTCATCTCACAACTCTTCTGGTCTTCGATCTTTAGTGTTTAATGTATCAAATCTGTTTTTTCAAATGATCTCTAAATTTAAGGTCATATATTGGCTTTCATGGACTTGTTTTCATTTTCTTCAGACAGATAGACAATTCCAGGGTTAAGAAAAAGCTGTGAAATTAAAATGTACTATCCCACTGCTCAGATGGGGCTGGCCACCATCCTAACCATTTAGATCATTTAAGGTTTTTGGTTAAAACTTTTGTTATGCCCAGAATTCAGGGTCCCCAAAGACCACCCAGGAGCCGTGTACCGATGCAAATACATAAGGGTTGTTTAATCAAGCTCGAGCCAGGTCTCTAACCTTATCCGACATTTCGGAATAGGGAAAGAGCCCCGAATTCATTGTCTGCAGGGTTTTTATAGAATTTTCAAACAGCTCAGGTTTCTCAGCTTTACAATCTTTGGATTGGTTAACAATTGGCAAACTATGAGATGTTACAGTTTAATTGGTCAGGACTGGTGGTCTTTGTTCTTAGGCTAGGGTAAAGGAAAACATCTGGCCTCTGGCCTTGAGCTGCCTGGCTATTTATGCATATATCATATTCTTGGAGCTAGAGTACGTGTTCAGGCTAATGTACAGAATGGAGATTGACCTTGCCTCTGGAGGGAACTAATAACTGAGGCCTTGTCTATTTAAAATGCTTTCCTGAGCCTGACTAGAGTTTAGTCAAGCAGTTTCTAGGTAGGCAAAATCAGTTTAGTCCTTACACTTTAATTTAATCAGCTAAGTCAGTATTTTATCTGGTAGAGTTGTCCAATTGAATCAGAACTTCTGACAGCAATAAATAATATTTTCGTATTGACTAAATGTGTCCAAAAGAACAAACAGATCTGTTTTGGAAGAAGTGCAGCCAGAGTGCTCCTTGAAGGCCAGGATGGCCAAACTTCGTCTCTCATACTTCGGACATATTGTCAGGAGGGACCAGTCGCTAGAGAAGGATATCATGTTTGGTTAGAGAAAAAGAGGAAGACCCCCAGCGAGATGGATTGGCCAAGTGGCAGCATCAATGGGCTCAAGCGTGGCAACAATTGTGAGTTTGGCCCAGGACCAGGCAGTGTTTCGTTTTGTTGTACATAGGGTCACTGTGAGTCAGTACTGACTCATGGCACCTAACAACAACAACAACAACAACAACAACAATAACAAATTTTCCTAGGTGTTTGTATGGGACTGACACTAAAAAAGCATTCACTGTTTATTTGAAATTCGAACTTGACTGTGCTTCCAGTATTTTTATTTACAAAATTTTACAAGGTTAGTCACTGAGTTGTAGGGTTCATTTTACAGAAATCCACGTTATAGTTAATCTCCGTGGAAATAACTTTAAAGAGGTAGAGCCCTTAAGTCTCACACACAAACACCCACACTCACATCAGACCACAAGACTCAGGTTATAATTCTTCCTTTAATAAAATTATGTTACTGTAAGGAAACTTCAGGCCAAACTTAGATTTGCAGGTATACCCCCATTGACTACTTCTGTTTGTGTAACAGTTGAGGCTGCATCTAAGAGAATGATCTTTGATTGGGTCTGAAACATTAGAAGCCGTATCTCTTGTAGTATTTGGCTCGTGCAAGGACATCATTGCAGAAGTCACAGCTCAGATCCTGGCTGCTTCTGATATAGCCAATACCTCCATTGTAGGCACAGAGTCCACCTGTATAATTAAAGTGATAGTTAACATTGACTTAGATGTTGCTCAGTCTTTCCTGATTGTTTATTGGGAGGTAACTATGATTTTCAGGAATCTAGTGAAACGCATCACATTTGTCCTTATTAATTCTGTGCTATGAAACAATGGGTCAGACAGCATTACACGTACCTCTCAGATACTGGTCTGGGGTCCAGGATGGAAACTTCCTCTGGACTTCTTTGATTCTAACTGACAGAACCTCAGTCATTTCAGAAAGGTGGGACTCGCTGATCCAGGATGTAGGAGCATACTGGCCAGCATCCTAGAGGGAGAGGTGGAAGAGAAGCCAGGCAAGAAAGTGATGCGACTTGTTCAAGTTTCTTCTCTTTTACATGTCCCTCTTTGGAGGAAGCAATGCCACCTCCAGTCTCCCTTGGGAGAAATAGTAAATTTACAAGATTGAGACAAAGAAAGAGACTTGTAGATTGGAATCCCTGGGTGGTGCACTTGTTAACACACTTGGCTGCTAACCAAAAGATTAGCAGTTCTAGTCCACCCAGGTGTGCCTCGACAAAAAGGCTTGACAAACTACTTCTGGAAACCCCCATGGGGCGCAGTTCTACATTGACTCACATGAGGTCACCATGAGTCAAGTTAATGGAAATTGACTTGGTTTTTCTTTTGTAGCGTAAGGGCGAGAAGTAGAGTTGGAAGCCAAAGCTGACAGAGTCTAAGAAGGTACTAGCCTAATTCCCCCCTTCAATGCAGCAAACACATGTTCTCCAAGCAGGTCAGAAAGGGATTTTTCTGTCTACACTTGAAATTTCTTTCCAGGTGATCTGATTGTTTAAAAGTACTTTAAAGTTTTCTTATACCCCTTTAGAGGAGTCCTCTAGTGGTATGGTAGTTTTGTGCTCAGCTGGTAACCTAAAGGTTTGAATCTATCAATTTCTCCAGTGGAGAAAATGTGGCAGTTTATTTTCGTAAAGGTTACAGCTTTGGAAACCCTATTGGACAATCCTATAGGGTTGCTATGAGTTGGAATTTATTTGATAGCAACAGATTTTTTGTGGTACTGTGGGTTATTGTGTTGGACTGCAAAGTCAGTTTGAACCACAAGGTCAGTGGTTCAAGCTCACCAGCTGCTCCTCAGAAACCCTACACAGGGTTCTATGAGTCAGAACTGACTCAACAGTACTTAACAACAACAACAGCATTTTGATGGAGGTCTGGTGTGGCACGGTAGGATAAGCAATGGACTGCTAACCACAAGGGTTGACAGTTCAAACCCACAAAGTACTCCTTGGAAACTCTATACAGGGTCACTATGAGTCAGAACTGACTCGATGGCACTCAATGATAACAACAACAACAACCCTTTAGATGACCACTTCCACATAGATTTCACCATACTTCGGGGAAATATCTGAATCTTTTCTTATTTCATTTTCAAAGGACATGGACTTGTCCTTTTCCTAAGAATCAGACTTTATAACGGAGACATAGCAGCTCAGAGGAAATGATGCTGGCCCTAACATTACAAGGTTCTGCAGTCCCCTATTGCCCTGTAACCATGTAGCAGTGATCCTCTCCTTGGAAATCCATTTCCTCACTTGTAAATGTTGGAACATCTCTCAGCAGATTATCAGATGTTTCCCCAATTCAAAATAGCACAGGGATTTGTAAGTACTTTTCAATGGAAAAGTGTCATACTTTACATAATAATGGGAAGCCAAATAAAAGATCATCAAATGAACAAATGATGAGGATTAACCTCCAGTCCCTGACTCCCCCGGAGCAGACTCCACCCAACAGTCAGTCTCCACAAGGAACTGGTGCAAAAATAAAGCTCAAACTTCAGAACTAAGGATGGTTTAGAAAGAAAAGGAATTTCATATTTGTTGACACTCTATTAGATACCAAGTATTTTCACAATATTTCATTTAATCATACAATTCTATGAGGATGGTGTTTTGCAAGTGAGGAAATTAAGGTCATAAAAATGGCATATTCAAGGTCATAGTTACAAATGGAGGGAGCATGGACATAATCCTAGACATGTCTAACACCCAAACCTGAGATCTGGCTTTACTCACTGGAAATCCAGAACAAGGTACCATGGATGATATACTAGAAGCAGCAGAACTGACTTGGAAAAGCAGTTGTGGCTCAAAATGAACAAGAATTATTAGAGCTCCTATCTCTAAGGCAGAGGAGCTCTGGTAGTGTAGAGGTTATGAGTCAGGCTGCCAACCTCAAGGTCAGCAGTTCGAAGCTACCAGCGGTTCCGTGGGAGAAAGATGAGGCATTCTGCTCCCGTAAAGATGTACAGCCTCAGAAACCCTGTGCCAGGGTCACTATGAGTCGGAACCGACTCCATGGCACTTAACAATAACAACAACATCTCTAAGGCAGAGCAATGGCTCTCAAAAAATCAAAGCACACAAAAAAACTGAAGATAACAAAATCCCACTACATTTTAGTCAATTCCAACGCGTGGTGACCCCTGTGTTACACTGTGGAACGGAATTTCATTCTTTTTTTTTTTTTTTTCTAACTATATGTTTACACCCCCACATGATAAGCACTAGATTGTGAACTTCAAGATCCATGGTTCGAGCTTACTAGCCGCTCCATGGGGGAAAGATGAGGCTTTCTGTTCTCATGAAGCCTGTACTGGGTAGCTATAAGTCAGAATTGACTGTACGGCACTCAACAACAACAATAATGTCTATGAAAGCAGATTGCCAGATCTTTCTTATGTGGTGCCACTGGGTGGGTTCAAACCATCAAGCTTTGGATTTGAAGTCGAGTCGAAACTGCTTGCAGCATCCAGGGGCCTTTCTCAAAACTCCAGGAGCATCATTTACTCTGAGTTCTATGGAACTGTGCTCCAGAGATGCCATCAATCCAAAATAACATAACTACCCTTGGAGTTTTGCCAGGCAGAGATAGGGAGATGAGTAGTTTACCTGCACAATCCGGATTCCATCGCCTGCATTTCCGACATTGACCAGAACATTGCCTGCCTGAGACTGTCTAGACAAGATAGCTGCGATGATGGCAGGATCCACACAGTATTTCTGGCCCACAGTCCTCAAAATGGGCTGATATCTCACCAGCTGTGGCATGTCTATTTCAGCCAACCTTTCAGAAGCACGGACTCCTAAAACAAATGAAAAGAAAAAAGTGTTTGTTTTTTTTAATTGTTATTTTTAATAAACACAGCTTTACCCCTGCATGTTTGATGCAGCTTGGTGTGACTTTTTCACACTCTGTGGATCTAGAGATAAGCACAGAAGTGTTAACCACAGGGTTGGCGGTTCAAACCCATCCACCTATCCTCAGGAAACCTATACAGGGTCACTCGGAGTTGGAACCAACTCCATGGCACTTAACAACACCAAGGATCTAGGGGGAGAAATCTAGAACCAAGAAACCCAAGGTTAAGTGCCAAATCCCTAGAGGCAAACAGTACAAGTAAAAAACATTTATTAAAAATCCCCAGAGGCCACTCCCTCATCAGAGATTATGGCTTTTCTTGTGAGTTTGAGTCAGTGTCTTCTGAGGCAGGTGACCCTGGGGCTGCCTGATAAGGGAAAATTGTTCCTGGCTGGGGTCTTTCTAGGACAAGTCCAGAGCATGAATGCCACTGGCCCTATTCTAAGCATCCCAGACAGGATTACACAGTAAAACAAACCTACCTATCAGCAACAGTGGGCACAAGATGTATAGGAAACATTCTCCCACAACCCTCAGCAAAACTTTAGAGTTGCCCTCAACACATTTATTCACCCAGAAATCATGCTTAGGATACTTTGAGAGTTTAAAACTTTATAAAATAACAAGAATGTTGGAAACAAACAAAAGCCAGTACTAATTTACCTGGCTAATCATTTGCCTTCTGAACTCTTTTGTGGTCTAGAACACATGTTCGTTCACATTATATTGATCCGAGTTTACAACAACACTGTTGTGATTGTTGTTAAAGGCTATGGGGTCAGTTCTGACTCATAAATGACTTTGTATATGGTTTCTGAGGAGCAACTGGTGGGTTTTGAACTGGCTGTTAGCAGAACAGTGCGTATTCCACAATGCCACAGCAGGCCTCCACAACAACATTAAATAAATACTATTACTCCTCTTTCAGGACTCCTGGTGTGGCTTTGTAGGCTCGGCACTTGACTGTGAACCAGAAGGTCAGAAGTTCAAACCCATCAGCTGTTCCTTGGAAACCCTATACAGCATCACTTTAAGTCAAAACCGACTTGATGGCATTTAATATTCGCCTTTCAAGGGAGGCTCAGGCTTGTTCAAGAAGCAAGCCAGGACTCAAACAAGACCTAAAGATACTGCACCCAATGCTCCTTCTACCAGTCCAAGGGTTGGATCCATAGGAGACAGTGGGATCCAGGAGGAAGTTCAGGGGGGGTGTAGGGGTGTAGTACAAAGCGAAGAGGAAAATCCCATTGAAGCCACTCTAGCCAATAGGAGACTGCCTTCTGAGAGAATGAAAGGAGGAGGGCCAAGTGAGCCAGTAGATTGTAACTACCACAGTAGTTAAGGCCTCTTCGTCTTCCAATCCCACAGGATGCCCCAGGGGTTTCAAGGGTGCGGATGTTTCCATAGCATCCCCAGTTGCTGCTTTCAGAGAAGTCTGTAAATTGAGAACATTTCAACATCAGGTGTGAATCATCATCCTTCAGTCCATGAATAAAGTGACATTAATAAAAACAAATCGAATTCAAAAACAATAAATAACAAGAAAAGTTATACAGTTGAAATGTCTGTTTGAAACCCATAATATACCAACCAAAAAATTTGTTCAGGAGAAGATGAAGCTTTCTGTTCCCCCAAAGATTTGTAGCCTTGGAAATCCTATACAGGGTGGCTGAGAGTCAGAACTGACTGGAGGGTACTTAATAACAACAACATCCAGGACACATAGATGGTTGAAGTAGTTATAACTCGTCACAAAACTCTGCAGTTGCCTAATACTGTCTGGTTGGGTTCTTGGAATCAAACCAGAGATTACTGGTTCCCTGTACACTAGTCAGGGGACGCTGGTGGTGCAGTAGATAAGTGCTCCTCTGTTCACCCAAAGTCGATGGTTTGAACCCACCAATAGTTCTGTTGGAGAAAAATGGAGCAGTCTGCTTCGGGAAGCATGACAGCCTTAGAAACCCCATGGTGCAGTTCTCTCTGTCCTGTAGGCCCTATGAGTCAGAATCCATTCTACAGCTGTGGGTCTGGTTAGTTTGGTTTGGTCAGCTAGTCCTCAATTTAAATATTATATGACCTCTGAACATTTGTTCTTCACATACTTGTAACTTGTTGGTCTGGCAAGATGCTATGTTTTCTCTAGAGAAAAATGGATAAAGCCTGAGCCTCTTTGGAATTTCAGCCCACACCCCAAGTGGAGATACTGCTCATTAACTGGTACCTAGGAATGGCTTCACCTTTAGGGTGCAGTCGAGTTGGGTGCCAAAGGCTGTGAGAGAGTGAGGCATGGGACCGTTCCCTTATACAGGCCAGGCGCTGCTCTCTTCTCCTTTTCTCTTCCTCTCTACCTTTTCCATCTGTCTCTTTACCTACCAGTGTGATTCCAGTCTCCTGGAAGAGGAGCAATGTGAAATACTACAGGATTCCACAGAGGCCACCTAAGAGAGGGACGTTCCCTATACTTAAAATAGTGAGGAGGGTGTGGGCCCAAGTAACAAGTACCTTCAATGGCAGGAAATTGCTCCTTGTGAGATTCATCTCACCATTATAAACCTAGAATAATTTTTCCTAAGATTACTCTTTTTTATTTATTTTATTTTAACCAAAGTGGTGATGGTGGTGTGCGGTGGAGTCTGTCCGACTCATAGCGACCCTGCATTGGGTTTGGGAAGCTGTAAATCTTTATGGGAGCAGAAAGCCTCATCTTTCTCTTGCAGAACCGCTGGTAGTTTTGAACTGCTGACCTTGAGCACTAGGTAACCACTATGCTAGCTTTAACAAAGTAAATGATATCAAATCTTCCTGATCTTGCAAATATTTAGAAAAGACTCTATTGCATATCATCATAGATCTACTCATAATACATTTTAAGCTTCTATTTTCTTACCAAAAGGAAAACATCACTGAGTTGATGTTTGAAGAGACTATTATTTTGAAGCGACCATGTCTATTTTTGGCATTTCAAGGAATGCACAAATGAAAGTGTATATAGTATGTTGTATATATAGTATATAAAGTGTATATAGCCGTTTATAAGTATGTTGTTGTTATTGTGTACCATTGAGTCGGTTCTGACTCATAGGGAGCCTGTATAGTCTTTCTGAGGCTGTACATCTCTACGGGAGGAGAAAACCTCATCTTTCTCCAGAGGAGCTGCTTGGTGGATTAAAAAATGCCAACCCTGAGGTTAATAGCTGAATGTGTAACCCACAACGCCACCAGGGCTCCTTTTTATAAGCAAACGAAAACTTAAACAAGCCCACATGTTCTTTTCTAATTTTTTATTGGTACTTTTCTCTTTTTAACTAGTGATAAATGCTCTCAATATTGTAGTTGGTTGTCTCACTCATTGTTCCCCCTCAGGCCCCGCTCTCTAACCATGTTTGATGATCCATGAATTTCCTTATCTTCCCAATACTTAGCATCTCATAAAAATTAAAAAATAATAGTAAATCCTGTAAAGGTTGGAAGTTGTGTAAAGCAGAAACCTGTCAGAGAAGAATTGAAGTATTTTCCCATTAAACTGAATAATGGGCAGCCTGCATCCTGTCAAAATAATGGGCAGTCTTGCTTGCAAGACTGGGAAAAACAAGGCAGACCTACAAATTCTAGCTCTCACAGGTTTCACTGTATTTGTCCAATAAATAGGTCAATAATTAATGAATGAGTATAAGACTGCATCTGACATACTTTTCAAATCAAACCCAGGAATAGTTTCCCTCTCTTGAGAAACTAAGCTTCCTCTTTTTATTTATCCTAAGTTATGTGTAAATCTAAATCATGTCTAAATCTAAAGTCCAATTACAGTAACTTTGACAGCCTCAGTGATGAGCTTAGTTGAATCTCCTTGATATTGGTTTTTCTGTCTGATTATAGACGGTTGCTATGAGTTGGTACCGACTCGATGGCACCTAACAACAACAACTATACTAAAACTACCTCAGTGTCTTCTGTGGAAACACATGGTGTGTAAATAAATATGGTAGCAGAAAGTACTTTCCGTGAAATCATCTATGAGCAGTTATCAGTGGTGTTTATTTAAAGATCAGCCTTAAGTAAACTTTTTAAGTTCCCCCATTGCATTCTGGAGGAACGCCCTCCTCTCCTTTTGTGGGACAACAGGGAAAATGTTGGTTGTCAGGGGCTGTTACTAACTCTAGGATTTGTTGGACAGCTTAGGAGAAAAAAAATGCTTTCCACTGCAATTTCAAGTACCAGAAGTACTATTATGTTCCTCTGCCTCTCCTTCCCATCTCCAAGGTCATTTGGAACAAATGAAATACTCACCAGAAAGGGTGAGGAGGCCCAGAAGCAGCCACAATGCAGACATACTGATGATGGGGCTCTGCAGGTCCTGAAATGATTTAAAAATAAGTAAGCCTGAACATTTGAAAATGTCAATAGTTGTCATAACAATGCATACATACTGTTTCTATGGAAAGGAAAAAGAGAGACAAAGAAAAGAGCAAATTTTCCCATATCTGAACTAAGAAATTATTTGAATCATAATAATAAAACAAAAATAGGACATGGACTCCAACCATTCTTTCAGTTGTATTAGAATTAACCAACTCCTCCTTTGGTCCATAACAACAACTTGGCCCACAGGGACTCAAGGCACTATCAAGTTTGTTGTGAGCTGCTATGAAGTCAGTACTTGCTGATTTTCAGAAATCATTGTTGTGAAGAGCCATCAAGTCAGTTCTGACTATATACAGCAACCCTGTATAGAGTTTCTGAGAAGTGGCTGGTGAGTATGAACCACCAACCTTGAGGTTCAAACCGACTTTGCAGTCCACTGGATTATGCTACACCACCACACCAGGACTTCAATTTTCAGAAGCAGATCACAGTTTTAGTCTGAAGGTTTGTTGAAACTTGTTCAGCACCATAGCAACACACAAGTCTCCACTGTGCCCCCACCAAGTTGCTGTCGTTAGGTACCATTGAGTTTGTTCTGACCTTACGCAAAACAGAAGAAAACACTATCCTGTCATGTGCCATCCTCACAATTGTTATGTCTCAGCCCACCGCTGCTGCCACTCTGTCAGTCCATCTTGTTGGGGGTCTTCCTCTTATTCCCTGACCACCCTCCACTTCACCAAACATGATGTCCTTCTAGAGAAACTGGTCCCTCCTGATAACACGTCCAAAGTATGAGAGATGAGGTTTCACCATTCTGGCAGTACATCTTTTAAGATAGATTTGTTTGTTCTTCTAGCAGTCCAAGGTACTTTTAATATTCTTCTCCAACACTATAATGCAAATGAATTGATTCTTCTGGATACTAATTAATTTTAGAAGCCAAGATGCTTTTATTTTCAACACCGAGAAACATAAGTGACTTGACTCTAGACCCTGAAGAGTAAAATTTTGAGGCATATGCTTTACCTTGCTAGTAGCCTCTTCATTATCAAAATTTGAAGATGTCAATAGTTGTCATAACAATGCCTACTGTTATGAACAGGAGAATTTATATCAGTGACATTGTCTGAATTGGAGTTCTTTTTTCCTTTTTCAGTGCCTTGGAACTTATACTGATTCTTTGCTTTGGAGAAGGAGATTCTCCCATGGCTCTAACCCCCAGGCCTGGAAATTTCAGGGCTCCTTTGACTGCCTTGAACCATGGTCCCCATTATTGCTCTGTGAAAATCCTATGCAGGAACTCAAGCCAGATTCCATGAAGAATGGAGAGAAAGGCTATTTCCACCAGCAAATCCAGGAAGTCAGGCCATAGGCAACAGTCCCCACGACTGAACTCACTAAAATGTTCATCAGATGGAACAACTGCCAGCTGGCCCACCAAACATTCCTAAAGGATCCCTCTGATACTTCCTTTCTTGTTCATCAGAGAAGAAACTATTGCTTGCCTTCACATGTTAAAACCAAGGTATGTCACTCTTGCTGTGTTTGTCAAGGAACAAAGATACTTCTTGGAAGCCCCAGTGGAAACACTTAGCTTTTATTGCGACACTGGAACAACCTCCTTTTCCAAGCATGGAACTAAATATCTGTGTTGAGCAAGTACTTGAACGAAAAGAGTCTTTATACATGCATGTGGCAATTACTTAGGAACATGGAGTTTCTTTCTGGTAACGTCTGAGCTCAAGCCTTCAAAAGCTCTCTTTTAATTTTTTTCAATTAACACTATGGAAGAGTAAGAAGTAATAATGGACACATATGCAACATATGTGTTCATGGCCTAACTTCATAGCCTAACTTCAGAGGTTCCTAAAGTGCTCTGTTTAGAAGGGATGGTTGAGGCATCAATGGGAAGTTCTAGGGAGTATCTACTGGTTGGTTACCCAGATGACTAATCTGTTCAGATCCCTGTGGCTTGCTGAACTCTAAAGTATTATTAAACAGTCAGGCAGAGATAAAACAGTGGTCATGCTGCCAAGCAAACACCTATGGTAGCATTCTATTCTCCATTCCTGGAGAGCAAAGCAGTAACAAACAGCCTGGTGGTGTAAACAACCTAGAATAGCAGGCCTGCAGGGTGCTTTGACACTGGCAACCTGAGCATCGCAGACGCACAGTTCAAGTTCCTGGTAGCCTCCATGACGACTCGTCTCAAATATTATTTAGGTTTGTAAGACATAATGAGTCATTTTGTTGTTGCTAAGTATCGAGTCAATTCCAACTTATAACAACCCTGTAGAGGATTTCCAAGAAGTGGCTGGTGGGTTTGAACCACCGACCTTGTGGTTAGTTGTCCAGTGCTTATCCTACAGCACCATACCAAGATTCCTAGTGGACTATTTATTCCTTAGTCAAATGTTACTTTTTCTAGAAAAGTAATAAAAAGAAATAAAAGCTTTCAAAGTTCTTTCCCTGCAGAACTCCCATTCCTTTTCCATAAAGGTTGTCCCAAATTGTCACCATAGCCTTGAATAATAACAACCTTGGTACCCTCCAGTCAGCCTGGAAGATGTGTTATATTAACCATCCTGACAAGCTGGGTAATGGTCTTGCTGAAAGTAATCCTGCCCAATCATGATACTTTCCCCACAGATGGCAACCCTATCAAGGGTTTCCTAGACAAGAGAAGACAGCCTCATCTTTCTCCCGAGGAACAGCTGGTGGGTTTGGACGGCCAAACTTGCTTGGGGTTAACAGCTCAATATCTAACCTACAGTACCACCAGGGCTCCTTGATGTCCAATTTAGCCTATTATTTATTGTTATGAAGTGCCATCAAGTCTTGGAGTCATGGAAGAATTGAGAACTGTGCTACAGATTTGCTTCAGGCATGGTCTCCCACTCTAAGTAGTATAGCTGCACTTGTTTTATTGCTAACAGAGCTCTGTCTGGTCCCTGTGGGATAGGTCTTTCAGGAGCATTGCATCTTAGTCATAAACCCTCTTGCTGTCATTTGTCTTTTTTATCCTTGTGCACACAGCAGCACCCTAGACTGGTGCCTAGCAGAATGCTATGCATCAGTAGGCCCTAAATTACAATAATAACAACAGTATATTACAAGTGAAAAATCCTTCTGCCCTTACGATAATGTTTTCTTGAGACAAATCTAACTTTTCAGGACAAAATATTCACTTTTTTTGGAGGAATACTTTTTCACAGGATCTGTGAACATAGTACTCAATTTGGATGGTGAGCAACAATATCTGGCCTTGAAGTCTCCAGAAGGGTTGATCGCTGTCCTTCACTCTCTCCCTGCAGGGTTATCCTTCCCTCACTAGGAAAAGACTCTTAACTGGAAGAGAATCCTCTCTGTAGTTCCTCTGTGCCCACTGTCTTCACTTTGTGCATTTGGGCTTCTCAGAGTGGAGAACTCCAGGAAGACACTACCTGGGTACTTTCCCAGGAATACACCACTCTGAACAAAACTCAAAGAAGCCTTGGTCTGTCTAGTCCATCCTTAGATTCATGAAGGTTGTCTATCCTTTTATTCTGTAAGCAAAGATTTACATAGTTAGGCATCTTCACCTTAGTCTTTCAATTTTTCCTCTTGGATACAGAAAATTGGACTCTGCTGTTGAACCATCACAGAAAGTATGTGAGACTAGAGGCAGGATTCAACTCCTAACAACACCCTGAAACCAAACCAAACCCACTACCATTGAGTTGATTCTGTCTCATGGTGACCTTCTATAGGGTTTCCTAGGTAGGCATAGACAGCGTCATTTTTCTCCCAAGGGACAGCTGGTGGGTTTGGATTACCCAACTTGCTTGAGGTTAGTAGCTCAATGTCTAACATACGGACCACCAGGACTCCTTGATGTCCAATTTGGCCTATTATTTGTTGCTATTAAGTGCCATTGAGTCAGTTCTGACTCATAGCCACTCTATGTAGGGTTTCTGAGGAGTAGCTGGTGGGTTTGAACTATCAATCTTGCAGTTAGCAGTCCAGTGCTTATTCTAACTATTGCTAAATACACACATATGTCTATCCTTCCATTCTTGTTCCCTGTATACTCACAAATCCATAAAGAACTACAAACTTACATTAAAAGAAATCTAAATTTTTAATAAGTATTGTAATAAACAGAAAAAAATTATTTTATCATCTACATAGTCATGGGCCTTAAATTTCCTCTGACTCCACTCTTTCATATTTACTCAGCAGAGAAAACCCATGTTCCACCTTAAAGAAAACTGCGTGTAAGTTCCAGGACTGTTTTCCACTCACCTGTCTTCAGTTAGCTCTTGTCTTCAGAGCCAGTCCGATACAACACTTTATATAGAGTCCCTGTTCTGCTTCCTCTCTTTAAAAGTGTTGACCTCATCCTACTGTGAAGAGATTTATGGCTAAGTTTCATAAATTATAGCAATAATCATAATAATTAAAAATACTTTGAACTTATATAAGGGCTTTTATTCAAGAATGACCTGGCATTTTGCAAACATTAACCAATTAGCTCCTTAGCACACCCCGGAAGATCTTAATTGTAGGTTCACTTAGATACTTTCAGGTTCAATATTTGTTTTAATTCTTACCAGTTTCTGGGCATTATTCTAAGGAAGAGTGTGAGAGAGGAAGACAGGGAAAGAATGAGGAAGGAATGAAAAATGAAGGGAAGAAAGAAAGAATAATAAGAGGGTGAGTCAAAAAGTATTGCTACAAAATGATAGACATCTTTATTAAACAAAAATATCACCATGCAAAGCTATTGTTTCTCAACATATCCCCCACCTAGGTCTGAACACTCCTCAGGATGGTGTTTCTGTATCTCTAACCCTCCCTTGAAGAATTCTGTGTTCTTCAATTGACACCACTTCAAAAAGGCAGTTTGGGCATCTTTGAGAGACTCAAATCATGCTCCTTTTAAATAGTCTTTGAGTTTGAGAACAAAAAAGTCTGAAAGTAAGA